TCTCTCTCTCTCTCTCTCTCTCTCTCTCTCTCTCTCTCTCTTCTCTCTCTCTCTCTCTCCCTCCCTCCCTCCCTCCCCTCCCTCCCTCCCTCTCACTCTCTCTATCTCTCTCTCGTACTTTTTGCCACTTTACCGAAAAACACTTTAACTCCAAGCCGCTAACCTTTCGGTTAGGCCGTAGCCTGACCTAGTTGGTAATTTCACCCTCATTTTCAAACTCCATTCTGTGGATCTTGAAGTAAACTCTTACATTCGTGTGAACGCTCACACATGTTGAACGCCATGGTTCGCGTGCTAGGCGTCTCAGAATGTTCACCTACATTCTCACGTCCATGGTTACAAATTGTCCATGTTTACAAATTGTTTTGATTTCCATAACGACTGTTTTACTCTGAGCTTTAGTTTTATGTGCATAGCAAGTATTATATAGCTATATATCTATTCACTATAAATGTCTATATTGTACTAGGTATCAGGACAAATACCCCCTGGACAATCACCCCCCGGAAAATTATCCCCCAGACATTTACCCCCCATGCCATTCATCCCCGGACAATTACCCCCCGGACAATTACCCCCCGGACAATTGCCCCCCGGACAATCACCCCTGGACAATTACCCACCGGACATTTACCCCCCGGACAATCGCCCCCGGACATTTACCTCCCGGACAATTACCTCCGGACAATTACCCCCTGGACAATTACCCCCGGACATTTACCCCCCGGACAATCACCCCCCTCCGGACAATCACCTCCCGGACATTTAGAGGAGGAGATAGAGGACGACGGAGAAGGTAGTGGAGGAGGAGGAGTAGGAGGGGGAGAGAAGGAGGTAGAGGAGGTGCAGGTGGTGGCTGAGGGAGGAGGAAGAGGAGGAGGGGAGGAGGAGGTAGAGGCGCCCTCCTCTACCTCCTTCCTCCTCCGCCTTCTCTCCTCTTCCTCCTCCACCTTCTCCCCCCTCTTCCACCTACTCTCCTCCTCCGCCACCTTCTCCCCTCCACCACCTGGCCCTCCGCTACCTCCTCCCTTCTCTACCTCCTCCTCCCTTCTTCCACCACCTTCTCCCTCTCCTCCACCTCCTCTCCTCCTCCTTCACTTTCTCTCCAACTCTCCTCCTCTCCTCTCCTCCTCCTCCACTTTCTCCCCCTCCGCCATCTCCCCCCTCCTCCGCCACTTCCCCACGTTCTCCCACCCCTCCACCTCCTCTCCTCCACCTCTTCTCTCCTCTCCTTTCCTCCTTCTCCTCCACCTTCTCCCTCTCCACATTCTCCCACTTATCCTCCACCACCTCCCCACGTTCTCCTCCTCCTCTTCCTCCACTTCTCTTCTTCTCCTCCTCCACCTTTTCCATCTCCTCCACCACCTTCTCCCTCTCCTCCACCTCCTCTCCTCCACCTCTTCTCTCCTCTCCTTTCCTCCTACCTCCCCTCCCTTCTCCTTCCACCTCACCTTCTCCCCCTCCTCCACCACCTTCTCGCCCCCACCTTCTCCCCTCCTCCACCACATTTCTTTCCCTCCTCCTCGACCTCCTCCCTGTATCACTGTGTCAAACAATGAATAATAAACAACAAAGTGAGGTTAAAATGGTCGGGGGTGATTGTCGAGGGTGATTTGTCCGTGGGTGAATTGTCTGGGTAAAATTTGTCCGGGGGGTAAATGGCCGGAGGGGTAATTGTCCGGGGGGTAATTGTCCGGGCAGTATTTGTCCTAGAACCCAAAAATCAATAAACAGTGTTGAATGAACAGTGTGAAACAGTGTTGGAGTGTGAACCAACAAACAACCGACGTTGAGTAGTTTGAGGAGCATAGTAGTCGATCATACGTGATTGACACGAGCAACGGTGAGCTTAGATGCAATTGCCGACATAAACAGGGGATTTCGAATCAACCTGTGACGCAAATTTCATCTCCACCAGACGTGATGACATCGCCTTCTATCTTGCCTGCTGTTCAGGATTAGGTGGAATAGAACAAATATGAAACACGAGGGCAGTCCTCCAGAGCAAACAGAGGACGACTGCTCTCGCAATATGAAAAACATATTCATAAATAAGCAAGAGCATACTCTTGTGCTGTCATAAAATCTTACTTATTCACATAATATGAGTCATACTTATTCATTAATTCAATTGTCTTCACGTATATCCATGCTGTATTGCGTTACGCATGCTATTGTATAGTGAAGATTTTAAAAATCCACGTAAAAAAGAGGAATATGTAATGATATTGCCATATCTTTTGAAATAACGCAAGACAATGGGAGACGAGATTCTCTATGGAGGTGGCTATGTAGAATGGACTTCTCAGACGAGATTCCTAATAACCAGCACTTTATTGACTTTATATATCCGTGTTATATTTTTACATACTCAGCTTCGATTACTTTTTTTGCGTGTCATAACTAGTATTGTCTTTCTGAACGTTTCCATGGCAGTGAGAGTACCTGCTGTAAATAGATATGGATATTCCAAAATATAATTTCATGTCGGTCCGGTGCCAAAAGCACCTTGCATTACTATCAGACTCCATGGTTTCAATGGGTTTGTCATCAGCAGCACTTGGTGTGAATCCTCGAAAATTTTGCTATACATAACCAAAATTAGAGAATTGCCCACCTATTGTGAACACAATATGATCCACAAGAAAATTAAGTCGATTTTTAATTAAATTTAAATTGAGTTTTAGAAACATACAGATTCCGTTTAGGTCATTCCGGTGATTGTTTGTGCATTATCGTTATCTTTGTTTTGATAATTAGACATCAGATATACCATCAGTTTGTTGTGGATCTTTTCTTTTTAAGCGCAGAGATCCCTTCAATTTCCTTGATCAAAAGTTAAACTCTTTCGTACTCTTCGCTTCTTTTTCGTACACCTAGTGAGCATATAACTGAATAATGGCCAAAAAACCCTGGCCAGCCATCATGATCATTAAGCCACGTTTTGTGAAAGATTTTGTACAAGGTTGGCCTAATTAGTCGTTTTCCTCACCAATCTTCGTGCCCCTTACTATACTACGACCTGAGTCTGATCTTGATTTTTATAAACGAGAATGTAGTTAATCAGAAGTGCGAGGAAACTGTTTAGTTTGAAATTGATTACATGACAATGAAAAGCGTCTAAGTAGCGAGTACAGTAAAAACCTGCGTATAAGAACCTGCATTTTTCTAAGTTAGCCTAAAAAGGTTCTTATATAATTGGTGTTTACTGGGAAATTAGGCTATTTAGGTTCTTAAATTGGTTCTTAAGAAAAAAGGTGCTTGTTGGTTGTAGAATATTGGTGCGGTTGTTGGTTTTATGTTGGTGCGGTTTATTGTTTATATAAAATATGCATATAATTATGTCTAAATGACTGCAATCTAGACAAATACAAACTCTATTCTAGGTTATCTTATTTCTTTTTTGTTTTAGTTGATTTATGAATTTTTAAGTGTTAACTGAATTTTATCAAATAAGAACCTGTTTCAAATTTTAGGCTAAAACGGGTTCTTATGTCAAGGGGGTCTAAATGGAAAATCTTAGCCTAACAGCTACTAGGTTCTTAATCACTAGGTTCCCATACGTGGGTTTTTACTGTAGTCTTCATGAAGTGTAAATATGCTTGCAGTTCTCGTTTTTTATTAGCTTGCCTTGACATCGTCAAGATGAGCTATGGCCACTGGGTGTCGTCTGTCGTATGTCCGTCCGTCAACATTTGGCTACGGTCAACGATAACTCAAGAACCGTTTGACCCACATGTTTCAAATTGCATATAGTTGTTACTCCCATGGGAGAGGTTTGAACGTCCTATTTTGGAGCATGCCAGTCTACCTACATTCGAGCCACGTCCACTTTTTGGCATAAGTCAGTTCAGGTTCAACGGATTTTGCTCATTTCTGGTATCATTTTTGGTATTATTCATTATCATATATGTGAATGAATGGGGACTGGTCCCAAAACATATCACACAGGTTTTTATTTTTTTTTTAATTATGCAAATTAGGTAGATTTTGGCAATTTTACTATGCATTTCAGTGTCTGCCTACGGTCAACGATAATTCGAGAACCGTTTGACCCACATGTTTCAAATTGCATGCAGTTGTTACTCCAATGGGAGAGGTTTGAACGTCCTATTTTGGAGCACGCCAGTCGACCTACTTTCGAGCCACGTCCACTTTTTGGCAAAAATGGAAATGGCCATCTAAATTCATTCGATTTTGTTAAATTTTGGTATTATGTGGTGGTGTAAGGCTAGCCCCAAAACAGTTGTTACTCCTATGGGAGAGATGACAACGTCCTATTACGTTTATTTCGTCTAGCTGGTCAACAACTCTACAATCATACCTATATACGTGTAATATTGTGCTTTAGATTCTTTGTTACAGTAATTTGACTGGAATATTTTATTGTTTTTATTTGCGCGATATTCGAAAACCAAAATGGCCATCATTTAGACGTAGCGCCATCTCTCGTCAAGATTTCAGACTTTTATAGATCTGAAACATTTATTTTCGCATCAAAACTTATGCATATATCATTATCAAGAGTATATAATGGGAGATATGCTATATAATGGGAGTTCTCCCATATATACTCTTGCTTTATATATCCCCCCTCCCCCTTCTATCACACCCAAGGTGAGCTACAGTGTCATTGACACTTTCATCCTGTATGTATTGCAGGCTTGGGAGACTTGTACACCGATATACTAGAGAGGGAAGTCGCATCAACCTTGACGCCGGGCTCTGGCCTCTTTACCACGGCAACTGGGATCGAACCTCATCATATAGACTAGAGCCGACCACATTGCAACGATGTTGAGGTTACGCACTCGAGTGGTTGAACTAAGCATGGCCGGCACTGCCCACCTGGCACAAATATTGCCAGGCAATGGCCGATTGCTTGGATACCGGTTGCCATACCAGCTTCTGGCGTGTAAGCAGACGACATGTGCGACCGACCCGAATGTGAAAGAAAGACCAATAAAGAAACTTCTGGTAGCAAATAGAGGTAATCTATAATTTACTTCCTTTCACATATAAATAATGTGAATTGCACTATATCGAATATTGTACTCTTGTGCATGACTGTAATCAAATTTAGACAAGTTTTTTTCTGTAACTGTAACTGTAATATAAATATAATTTTTAGCTCATCTGACGTAGTCAGATGCAGCTTGTAGAATCGCATGATCGTCCGTCCATCCGTCCGTCCGTTCGTCAATAGTTGGGCACAAATCTTAACCGCTCGACGTACGGTCACGATATTCAGGACGTCGGGGGGTATCGTGAAAAGGACTCAGGATGACCAATTTGGGGGTCAAAGGTCAAAGGTCAAGAAGTGTAAAAGAAGGGGGAACATTCCCTCCTTACCTTAAGGTATAGGGAGGAAATGCAAAATTGCGGCACAAATCTAAACGGCTCGACATAGGCTCGTGATAGTCGGTGTATAGCATCATGGTCGGAAAAGCCATCACTGTGCAGAAATTGGAGCGTCACAGCGTCAAAGCGTCAATGGGCACAGGGCTGATTTTAGCCATTTTCTGAGGACATGTCTGACGGCAAGCGATTAAAAACTTTTTGTCTTCAGCGGTGCACCTACCATTTTTATGCCTTTATTAAAAGGAACCATGCAAATGTACTTGTCCGCTGACATGCGAAGAGTAAGTGTCTGATAACCTTTTGACCTCAAGAGGCAGGTATGAACTTTGGATTTGTTTTACTGTTAGGAAAGATTTGACTGCCGGCGTTTGCCTAGTTAGAATTAATACATGCTGGATGTATGAGGCTAACAATGCTCACAGTTGAAATTCTCCAAAAGCTAAATTTGGCGTTGAAGGAAGGGTCGTTATGCTCCTTTAAATCGTATAATTTCTATTGCCATTCTTACCTTGTCAGTGAGTTACATGTAACTTATGCCACTTGCCGTGCGCGCTGCCAGTGCATTGTGGTTCGGTGATATGTACTGTGTGTTTCTGCTCTGCTGTTACATTTAGTTACAGGTGGCAGCTCTACTATTTCAGCCCTCGTAGGCTTGCATAGGTAATGGGAATGAGGGCTTACCTATTCTGTCTATCAACATAGTTGTTGCTACTACGTAACAATGGGAGCTTCCATCTTTAATTTAGACACTTAAATGTAGTGCCATTCTCGTGGCAGACTTCATAACCGATCCCAACGAACATTCCTTCGAGAAGCGTTCCTGATACCATCCCTGTGTTTCTTCCACTGTTTTGGCGCGTATGTTGAACAAATTTGGGACTAACAGGCGTTTACTATGAATCCCACGCACTTCCACACAGACGTCACCGCAGTAGACGTTAGATGAGCGCTTCGTGCCCGTGTCGCTCAGCGGCACTTGTTTCTAAAGTCATGTGTGAGGAAAGTCTGCAGGTCTGCATTTGGTAGCAAATGCAAGACAATATCTCTCGCTATGAGCTTGCTTTTTATCGACATCGCTGATTCACATATCTGTTAAATTCATGTTCTCATTACTGGTAGAATGCCATCACTATGGAATGTGTCAAAATTCAAACGTTCAATTGATCGATTGATTGTTTAATTGAAGTCGTTTAATCATTCAAACGTTCAATTGATCGATTAATTGTTCAATTGAACAGTCGTTTAATCATTCAATAATTGTATTCTATTTGCTAGGGGAGATTGCGGTCAGAGTGTTCCGAGCATGTCAGGAGCTGAATATACGCTCGGTGGCGATATACTCCGAGCAGGATAGGTACAAGATGCACCGACAGAAGGCAAATGAATCCTACCTAATAGGAAAAGGGTTGGAACCCGTAGCTGCCTACCTAAACATACCGGAGATTATACAGATAGCTCTGGTGAGTATAGGAAAACGATAGAGTGACAGTCAATTAGCCAAAATATAGATGGTAGCTGTAGGGCTAGCACTCATTATTTTAAGCTGAAGGGGTCTGGGTTTAAGTAACAATTTGATCACTGCTGTTGTATTGTCAAGCAATGCACTTTATCTTGATTTGATTTGGGTAATAGGTTTCGAGCGATATAGCTCAGTGTAATGACCCTAGGACTGTTACGGCTAGTTCGAGTTCAGGTCGCACCAACTCACAACTACTTCTCAGTGTTGTTCTCTGTGCACGAGGCACTTAATTTACTCTTATGACCCCATATAAAATTGATAATTCTTCTGCTTGGATTGCATTATGCACTCAATGTAGGGTAATAGGGTAATAAAATACTTGGATACTTGGAAATGTGTTCTCGGCAACCAGGCCGCGTTCAGATGGTAGATGTATATATATATATATATATATATATATATAGTGTAGACAATCATTATACACTAAACTGACTAAAGACATAATTAATACTCGGCATACGACTAGATGGAATTAAAAAGGGATATGAATTGTAGAGATGTATATGAAGTTCAAGGATAACTGCAAAAGGTCAATCAGGAGTTCACTCTACTGCAATAGCATGTGCAGTGGAGAAATAGACATGCCTATCAGAATGATGGACCTACTCTTTTTCTGTATTCGTATCTTGTGTTGGTTTTCACGCACTTCTGCTGCAAACTGCTGTCGAGACATATGGAGGTATCATGCCGTTATCTATTCATACGAGATTACATGCCAGTGTTGTAGTCGAGTCCACGCCACCCGAGTCCGAGTCCGAGTCCGAGTCCGAGTCCAGTTTTGATTTTCAAAAAGGGGGGCACAGACCGACAAGGCCGCTCACTTCTATGTATGTGTTTGTTTAAAAATGGTGGGTGTTTCCTGCCCCTGGATCTGTCACTTGTTTGTATTAGGTAGGAGTTTTAGTTTACAATATGTACAGTTATGTACTATGTAGTTGCCTCGAGCCAGCCTCAACCCGAGTCCAAGTCCGAGTCATTGCACTCTGAGGCCAAGGCCGAAGCCGAGTCCAAAGAAACCGGCCTCGAGACCTACAACACTGTTACATGCAGCCTAGCCTTGTTTACGACAGACAGCCCTGGGTGTTTACTGGCTCTGACAGTCGCATCCTAGCCCTTATATATGTATGGTGGCAGTGTTAAACGTAAATCTACCTTTTTTAAGCTATACAGCTGTAAAGCGTAGAGTACAATTTTAGGCCGACTGAACTGTTTTCTATTCCAAATTATCTGTCACTGCAAATTTCAACAGTTCAGTGTCATCCATGATGTTATCTATACCTTATGCTCTATGTAATGCCCCTAGCAAATGGTATCTGTAAGGCAAACATCTGATGATAGGATCAGATATATGGTAAGACCATCTTTGACTTTCATGATGCACTCTCAAGTTCTCATCCCATGTAAACGTTGGATTCAAAGTTTAACCATTTTTTTCAAGGCAAGTTTGCTATTGTTATCATAGGTGGCCAAGCCTACTCGAGTCTTATCGCTGAGTTTTTTGCTTTGCAGTGGAGCTGCTGTGATTTGTGGGCCTTTATTAATGTGCATAGAGTGTAAATGCACTAAGATGATGATGTTGCCGTGCTTGCGGAACTGCGCTGTATTTATGTTAACCGTTTTTGTAAAAAAAAAAACAGGGTTATTATAAGTTCAGGCAAGCTAGGTCCATCTCTGTTCGATTCAGTCCGTGTACATATGCAGTATTTTTTATAAATCATGGCCAATTAATAAAACCCTATCATCTTTACTGGTAATGAATACCTTTGCACACGTTCATGCATCACAATTATTGTGAAATAAGGCAGGGTTAATTGATTGTGATTTTTTAGTGTGTAATTAGAGGGTCTCATGAAAGTGGCAAGGGTTGTTATGTAAGTTTCAGTAATGCAGTGTCACTACTGTTGAAACTATCTTTGTATAAACTATAGTACGTCTTTACGGTATTTAAACTAGAACTTCGTAAGAGAAGATAATTATAGCGATCCTAAAGCTAACGAAATTAATTCTACTAACAAAATAATAACGTGTGGTTGTTCTCTTGCCTTGTTCAGGACAACAATGTGGATTCCATTCACCCGGGCTATGGCTTCTTATCAGAGCGTTCCGAATTTGCCCAGGCCTGCGTTGATGCAGGACTCAATTTCATTGGACCTACACCTGATATCGTGCAGAAGATGGGAGACAAAGTGGAAGCCAGGAAGATGGCTATAGCTGCAGGTTGGTGAGGGGCAGTATGCATGTGTCTGCCAGTGTAGCTTCGTTCGTGCGCATATTCCAATTTCTAGTAAGTGTGTTATTTTTAAAACGTGAACATAATGAGCAGATGCTTGCATGCCGCTGGCTACTACACCCAACCTGTATTAGCAGCTACTTCTGTAGAACGTATGTTTGGTTATAGTATGGTATTGATGTTTCCCTTTAATAACAGCTATACAGTGAAATCACAAAAGACACGTTCACCATCCGTTGTAACCACTGAGTGATCCTTATGTACAGGGTTGACTGGATATGATTGCTGAGGTGTTCTAGCTACATTGCTTTACTAAATTACATATCAGCAGGAAAAGTTTAAGGCATAAAAACGTGATGCATATACTAATCACACCAAAATATATATGCTGTAATGGGAGAATTATAGTCATTAAACTGTGGAAAATGCATCGTGCAATTAAGCAGACATGAATGTTGCACGCAACACTTCATTCATGTCTGTATACAGAAATAGTACAGAAGTGCTGAGCGTGCACACATGTCACTTTTGTGCTTAGGTGTGCCGGTGGTTCCTGGCACTCCAGGACCTGTCACCACAGTTGACGAGGTGATGGAATTTGTGGCAGATCATGGAATGCCCATCATCCTGAAGGCAGCTTTCGGCGGTGGTGGCCGCGGAATGAGGATTGTCAGAGAGCAGAAGGTAGAGCCTTGAGTCTTGCCTTCCTCTGTAGTTGACCCGTGGGCAGTGGCTCGAGGGTAGAACGTGGTTGTTGCTATATCCAGTTTAGTTGAACGACTGTCAGATACCTGAAGCTGAAGGTAAAACCCGATTCTTGCTTGCCCCTGCAATTGCTCTAGATACACATTCAACAAGACAAAACCTTGCTGTCGAGTAAGCTGAGCTTTGCAGCCCTCCATACTGAGTCTTCAAATGCAGTATAACATGAATGGTTTACACAATAGCTAAGTGTCCTGAATTTTACAACTTCCAGTTTTTGCTACAAAAGTTAAATTCGTAAATATGTGTAAGAAACAACTAAAATAAATATATTCATGAATGGAGAGTGACTTGATCACAAAGGATTTGTAAACGATTAAATTATAAAACTGAGGCCGAAGTGTGGAGATTTGTGTCATGCATGTTAAGATTTATTGAAAAAAATAGCAAAGTAAGTAGGGTACATTCGTATAATACAGAAATTTTACATTGCAAGATGAGATGTCACCTATGTTTTGATCATTCTAATTTGACACATAACAGGCAGAATTTTATCAATTAGTGTGACCTGTATACTTCTGGACCCGGTTCCACAGTCGTGGATTAACTTTAACCTTGAGTTAAGACTAACTCTGAGTTAAACTCACTAACTCTGAGTTAGTAAACTCCGAGTTAAATTTGGGTTTCATAAACATGGATTAAATCCTGAGTTAAGTAACTCAGAGTTAAATGTTTTAACTCAGAGTTAGTATCCCATAATTCCACGTAGTTAGAACAGATGAACACGATAGACGCATGATAGACGCATGATAGACGCACGAACATGGTAGAAGTACGGATGCCTGGATCAGCGTTGGTACGCCATCAATGGCCGACCAATGTATACCAAACGTAAACAAACACCTATGTTCCAGCGGCAGCGGGGGATCGGACACGGGGCAGTACTAGATAAACTAATTAGCTCTAGTACTAGTACCCTAGAGCTAAACTAACCTCGTAGAAACTAGTCTAAATGATTATACCGAAGACTATCTATAACTAAATCGAATCATAGATCGAATGTAACTTGATTTTTAACCCTGAGTTAAGAGTTAATCCAGGTTCGAACCAGAGTTAAATTTTAACTCTGAGTTAGGCATATTTAACTCAGAGTTAAAGTTAATCCACGACTGTGAAACGGAATTTAACTCCGAGTTAACTTTTAACTCAGAGTTAAGAGTTAATCCACGACTGTGGAACCGGGTCCAGGAAAACTAAACTCTGTGTAGAATAATGATTCTGGAAAAAATCAGGAATTATGGTGACTCCAATCATGCAGACTCGGTAGGAAACATCACCCATTTGTCTACCAGTATAGACTTGTTAAACAAGCGTTTTTTTGTTTACACTCAGTGTGGATAAGTGAATGTTTCCTGTGCGTACATTTTCTTTCTTCTATTGCAGGAACTTGAGGATGCTTTTAGAGTAGCGACCTCAGAAGCTCTGGCAGCCTTCGGCAATGGTTCCATGTTCGTCGAGAAATTCGTAGAGAGGCCCCGACACATAGAAGTGCAGATTCTAGGTGACGACACAACTTTTAAGCTTTTAGTTTTGTTGTTCATACTTGTAACTGTTTATGAGTAATGGCAATTTGATTTGTTTGTAAATTATGCGAAATTATGTGATGTAACGAAATTTCGTAATTTTGAATAAGGCGTATTGCCTGTACAATGCTATAGCAACTTTTTTAACATACGGTGGTGCTCTATTAGGTGACAAGCATGGTAACATTTCCCATCTGTATGAGAGGGATTGCTCTGTGCAGAGAAGACATCAGAAAGTGGTGGAAATAGCACCTGCACCAAACATCGAACCCGAGGTAGGTTCTAATTGACCATCAGTCTGTGCTCACACTCAGGTGTAGGCATAATAGTCGGTTATCTGTTATAACAACATTGCAGCTGCATGCACTATGTTGAAATGTATGCTGGAGTAATATGCCACCACCAGTTAAGGCAGCATTCCAGTCAGAACCGTAGAATTCCACCCATTTTCTTACCCACATCGTGCAATGTACTAACAGCTATCCAGCATTACATATCATTTGAGACTAGCGCACTACTCCGTAAATTGTGAAGCACGTGCAAGGTCAGTAAGACCAGAATATGGAAGCTTTGAAAGCCGAATTCGACATCTCCACGCAAAAAAATTGGGCGAACGCCGAGGCCGAATCTTGGCGAAGCAGCATAGGACGCTAGTGTCGGAGGAAGCGCGCTCGAGGCGACGGGCGACCCAGGGGCGTGTACAGGATTTGTACCAAGGGGGGGGGGTCTAACCGTAACCCAAACTTGCGTGCACGCGAAGGGGGGGGGTCTGGGTGGCCCTTCCCCAGAAAAATTTTGAAATTAGACCTTAGATGCGTTTTCTGCGCGAGCAGGGGGTGGTCCGAACCCCCTGGACCCCCCCCCTGTACACGCCCCTGCGACCGCGTTAACGGGGTCGCTGCTTGCAGGTGCGTGAGGCGCTGTGCGCGGACGCGGTGCGCCTATGCCACCATGCCAACTACGAGAATGCCGGGACGGTGGAGTTCCTACTCGACAAGGCCAGCAACCACTTCTTCATCGAGGTGAACGCGCGGCTGCAGGTGGAGCACACCGTCACGGAGGAGATCACGGGGTGAGCACGCGCCGGCCCGACAGCTGCACACCGCACTACCCTGCCTTTACCTTCCACACTGTACTACCCATGCTACCTCATCATAACTCCACATATACCCACGCTACCTCAGTATAACTCCACATTTACCTCCTTCCTACCTCAGTATAGCTCCACATTTACCTTATTCCTACCTCAGTATAGCTCCACATTTACCTCCTGCCTACCTCAGTATAGCTCCACATTTACTTCCTTCCTACCTCGGTTCCACATTTACCTTATTCCTACCTCACCATAACTCCACATTTACCTCTACCCTACCCCACAATAATTCCATGTTTACTCTACACGACCCTACCTTTACACCATCCTCCCGTAGGATAACTCTACCTTTACTTCATCATAACCTACCTTTACCCCACCTTTCTCCACTCTACCCCGATATAACTCCACCTTTTACTCCATCCTATATTTAACCCACCCACCCTAACTACTGCACCCTACCCCACCCCACCTTTACGACACTTACTCTGCCCGACCCTTTTTCACTCTGCTCTACCTCATTTGACCACCCTAAACATCATCTTCCTTTACACCACTCTACCCTTGCGTCCCACCCATCATCTCTTGATTGTCATAGTTTGTGCACATTGTTCACCGATATTTCCAGTGCATCTAGCACGTGTGGTCTTTCATGAGCTTGTAAAATAAGACTGCCGACTATCAGCGTATGTGCCCTCAGTGTATATAAGAGATAAATCACAGGTCAGCCAGTCACTCGTCAGGAAATGGTACCCAACGAACTCGGTGCCTGGAATATTTTCCCTTCAGGGTTTGAAATGGACATGAAATGTACTTTCCTCTGATAACCACAAAGAACCTGATAATCGATGTTTACGGTTTAGTTTCTTATCTATTTATCTTGTGAGGAAGTGCTCAGGCGAGGGAAAGATGCATAGTTTTTGAAATTTGAAAATGAGTGCTAATATCCAAGCATCAGAAATACGGCAATCTGTATTTCGTGCAACTCATCGCCAGGGCCACTGTATCTATAATAATTCCAAACACGTGTTATAGTATGTTATAGTATTCTAATCATGATCGGTAGCTATGATAAATGAACAACAAATAATTATGTGCATTGTTTATATTCCTATTCGCTTTTTAAGGCTTTGTTAATATATTAAGATCTTACTTGTATTTACTTGAATGATATAGTGTGGTGCTGGTTTCAAAAGATTTGCCCTTAAAGGGCAATGTTATCCTCATGCCCTATGCTCTATATGTAGAGCAAAGCCAAAGAAGTACAGTGGTTTCACCTTAAATGAGAGTATTGCAAATAATCATTAATGCACATGTATGTGGGGCATTGCCTGAATTGTCAGAACTGCCACTATGCCCAGCAAACCATTTATTTACGTCTTAAACCTCTCATGCTGATCTGGCGATTTTTAAAGGATAACCGCAAAATCGAGTTAGCTTTGCTGACGGCCGCAAACGTCACTTAATTACTTTTCCATGGCCCCCATTTGTTGCATTTCGTTTACTGCACACTAGCAATCTAAGCAGTATAGTCTGGTAATGTACACATGTCAGGCTCACTGTTGTCTAGGAGAGAGTGTTGTCTAAGTTCCAATATTTTTATTCATTACAAAAAACACGTCTGGGAAAGCGTTCGCAAATAGATTTTGTGCTGAAACATTTCACTTTGACCTTTACTTGATAGCATTCTGTGCCCATTACAATTAAAATGATGATTCTTTTCTGTGTTATGACGATATCACTTTAATGCTGTTGCAGAGTGGACTTGGTTGTATCACAGATCAGAGTGGCTGAGGGCAAGACGCTATGGGACATCGGGGTTACTCAGGATATGATCAACCTTAATGGCTGTGCTATCCAGTGCCGGATGACTACTGAGGACCCGGGAAGGAACTTCCAGCCTGATGCGGGCAGGATTGAGGTAGCGTTGATGTTCACAGAAGCCTCGTGGTCATAGACTTTGCCATCGCATTATATGTAAATATGGCCCTGTACTCATGAAGTCTATTTTGTGGCAGTCCACTGTGCGGACAGGGTCTGTATATGCACCTCCATGACTGTAACATATACATTGCTACGGTATGTCTTGAGGCCCCTTGCTTGTAGGTGTACCGCACAAGCAAATACACGAACACGATTGTACGGTGTGCGTTGAGGCAGTTTACTTGCTTGTGGGTGTACCGCACAAGTGAAGATTCAAACACAATTGTACGGTGTGCCACTGTGCGTTGAGGCTGTTTACTTGCTTGTAGGTGTACCGCACAAGCGAAGACACAAACACGATTTTACGGTGTGCGTTGATGCCATTTGCTTGCTTGTAGGTGTTCCGCACAGGGGAGGGCATGGGCATCCGTCTCGACGGCTCGGACGCGTTCGCGGGCGCCTACATCTCGCCGGACTACGACTCGCTGCTAGTCAAGGTCATCGCTCACGCGCGCAACCACCACACGGCTGCCGCGAAGATGAACCGCGCTCTAAGAGAATTCCGCATACGTGGCATAAAGGTGAGCGAACGGGTTAACAGGAAATTAGTGGAAATGGTAACGCGATACCAAGGTGGAGGGGAGCATGGGCGACGTCCATGGTAGGGAAAGCGTGTCATGACACAAAGATCAGTGAAAGGGGGTGGATGACGTCCAGAACAGGGAAGTGTTAAATGAGATATTGATGATCAGTTGAATGAGCTGGGTGTCATCCAGGGCAAAAAAAGGGCTTACGTGATACAAATGTGATAGTAAGTGGAGGGATGGAGGGATGTATTACAAAGAAAATGGAGAAAGTGGTGGGCAACATCTATAAAAGAGATTTAAAGGGTCATACCAAATTAAGGTACATGAAATTCAGGGGAATCAGTAATGGGGCAGTAACCGACTGTTAAGAACAACTGTCTAAATTATTACAATAGAAAGCCTGTATTTATTACATGAACATGAACATGTCTAGTCATGAACACAGCAGTATAAATAATTTGCTAAAGAACTTCGTGTGAGAGAATGAATAAGATGAAATCACGGCGCCAGTCATGCGGACACCAATTTGCGAGTTACCTTAAAGTATTCGCCTGAACCCACCTTCAGACGAACACACCATTCCTGTTGAACGTGCTTGAGAACAAGCGGTTCTTGAACGGCACGATCGACACCTACTTCATTGACGAGCATCCCGAGTTGTTCAAGTTTGCGCCGACCTTGAACCGCGCTCAGCGTCTGCTCATCTACCTCGGCAACACGATCGTCAACGGGCCGCAGACGCCGCTAGCGACAACGCTCTTGCCGTCACGCACCGAGCCGAAGCTGCCGGAGACGCCCGGACAACGTAAGCAGAAGCGACCCGCGAGCAGGCGACGAACAGGCCGCGCATTGCGCAATTTGTGATTCGTGATTTCTTAATTTGCGAGCCTAATGGACGAGTGTAAATACTTGTTTAATGTGGTTAATAGACCGTTTGCTAACAATTATGAGGGCATTCAAATATAAATCTGTTTATTTCTTATATGTACAGTGAATCAGCGATAGCGAAATTGAGTGATGTTTTAGTTTTAAGAGCCATCTAAGATAAATTGTTAACGCTGTGTTCGCACACATGCTGACTTGTAGGAGTGCCGCCTCCAAAGGGCTACAAGCATATCCTAGACACAGAGGGGCCAGAGGCGTTCGCCCGTGCTGTCAGGAAACACGAGGGCCTGCTACTCATGGACACGACATATCGTGATGCCCATCAGTCCCTGCTAGCGACCCGAGTGAGGACCTATGACCTCAAGCGCATCTCGCCGTTTGTTGCGCACAACTTTAACAATCTGTATGCGCTGGAAAACTGGGGAGGTAGGTATCTGTTGTCATGGATACTATATGCTCACACCCAACTCTTGCTGTCCATGTGTTGAAATTATATGTTTAGTAAGCATGACTATATGCTATGACTAAATGGCTAAATATTAGAACATATAGACATTGCTATATTTAAGTGGTGATTACAGACTAGGGAGGGGTAGTATGAGCATTACGAAAACTTAAACATGACGTTAGAAAATTGATAAAAATTGAAGCGCCATTGACAGGATCGAAAAAATTGTCTGTTGTCTGTGTGAAAAACATTGAATGCTTTTTCAAGAAGAGATTGTGCTCAAAAACATTATCGTAGCAATGTTCCATGAAATGTTCGGCAATGTGTGTTCCGAACAATGTTTCTGAAGATCGGAAATGTTTGATATCTCGAACATTGTTCGTCGAATGTTCGTCAATGTGCGCTGAATGTCGAACGATTCTAGGAACATTTGTAAAGTAGTAACCAATAGCAGCACGATATGTGGTCACATGATTTTTGTGCCCAATTATGCGCCGATCACGTGACTCTTTACAACACAGCTACTAGACGGCGCCAGGAGGTTATTCGCTGCAAAATGTTCGGCAATGTGCGCTCAGCAATTGTTCACCCGCACATTGCCAGACAAAAACATTTGTTCGGGAAAATGTTCGGCAATGTGCGCCAGGCTTAAGCACGTTGCATCGTGAGTTCACGAGGTGTCTGACGTGCTGTTGTTGCCATGACGATAGGTGCGACATTCGACGTGGCAATGCGCTTCCTCTACGAGTGTCCATGGGAGAGGCTGGCGGCACTGCGCAAGCTCATCCCCAACGTACCCTTCCAGATGCTGCTGCGAGGAGCGAACGCCGTCGGTTACACGACATACCCAGACAATGTCGTGTTCGAGTGAGTAAAAGAGTGCCTATGCGTGGCACGTGGAGTTTGTAGTCTTTCTGCGATGTTTGGACATTCGCAGACCACGTCGTGTTTCAGTTGGTGAAATGGCCCCAGCACGTGCAGGAGATTTGGTGCATGTACCTCCGTGAAACGTTTGGTTGTTGAATTGCTGGTCACGAGTGCAATATTTGCGGCATTGACGCTTTCACGTTCTTCTCGGATATCGTGATGGCTGTAGCTTCCACATGATTGCGCACGGTGCTTCGGGTTTGTATGAGCGCATGTATGTGTGTAACACTCATTCAAGCTTTTATATATATATTATATAAGGATTTTATTAATCGTCTGCCTTTCCTCTCACTCTAGGTTCTGCAAGTTGGCTAAGCAGTGCGGCATGGACATATTCAGGGTTTTTGACTGCCTAAACTACATGCCCAACCTAATACTGGGAATGGAAGCTGCTGGCAAAGCTGGTGAGTTTAACCGAACATGTTTTGGCATGCTCTTTTTTGGCAGGCATGTTTTTGCCTGCATAGTAGGGATTTTCATCTTTCTATAAATGCTCATTTATACAAACAAGCTGTAATTCCGCTTATTGCATTCTAAAGTTTATGCGTATTTACGTACATCCAGGCGGTGTGATAGAGGCAGCTATATCGTACACTGGTGACGTGGCCGATCCATCTAAGACCAAATACACACTCGACTACTACATGAATTTGGCAGATGAATTGGTCAAGGCGGGGACACACATACTGGCAATCAAGGTGAGCCAGTTTGCCTGCTCTGAACTCAGTAGTCAGTTTCAGTAGCAGGATTCTTGGGATTTTTGGTGCTGCAGTTTTGAATTATAATTATTCTGTGTCATCAATTTGAGTAGTAGAATTTCTTTTCAAAGCAATTGCCAATAAATTCCATGCCGGATGCCATCGGGATAAGTAAATTGCTTTACAAGTATCTTCAGGTTCATCTTCATACTATAAAAAAATGCTAGGATAACACTCCACGCATGCCATGGCTAGGATCGTAATCTTGTGTTGGTTTATCGCGGAATGAAGTTGCGTCAAGGCGGCTCGCATTCGTGTTGCAACGTGTGGCGAGTGATTGCGCGCTCTCTCGTTTTCGTAGGACGTACTACTACTACTACTGCTACTACTACTATAACCCTTCAGTCTCCTGGTAGACAGGTCATTTGTGAACTCTCTCCATGTCGCTCGGTTGGTCTCCTTCCGCTCCATTTCCCTCCAGGTGTAGCCCTCCTTCTTTAGTTCCTCCTCCGAGTCTCGCCTCCAGGTTGCTTTAGGCCTTCCTACCAGACGTTTTCTTTCCGGGTTCCAGCTCAGCGCCATGCTTGTTATGTCGGTCGCTTCCTTCCGCTGTGCGTGGCCCACCCAGCCCCATTTCCTTCTTCTCATTTGGATTTCGATTGGGGTCTGATTTGCCCTTTCCCAGAGTTCTTTATTTGTGATGGTGCACGGCCAAAATATTCCTCAAGGATCTTCCTCAAGCATTCGTTAACAAAGCTTTGGATTTTTTGGATTATTTTGGCTGTTAGTTTCCATGTTAGCCCCATTTCTCTCTTCTGATTTGGATCTCGTCTTCGCAGGACATGGCCGGCGTGATGAAGCCCCGGGCGGCCACGCTGCTGATCGGCTCGCTGCGTGAGAAGTACCCCTACCTGCCGATACACGTGCACACGCACGACACGGCCGGCGCCGGCGTCGCGTCCATGTTGGCGGCGGCGCATGCGGGAGCGGACGTCGTCGACGTAGCCGTCGATTCCATGTCCGGCATGACGTCGCAGCCGAGCATGGGAGCGATGGTCGCATCCGTGCAGGGTTCCGACCTGGACACAGGTAACGATGCAGCGCGTGCGCGGCGGTCGCCATGCAACGCAGCGTCCGGCGCGGCAGCTGCGGTGCACTGCAGCGTCTGCCGTGCCAACTCTTGCGTAGAGCAGTGCTTCTTAAATTATTTCAGTGTCATTCACCCGCGGAGTCTCCATCATAAAATTTCATTCAACCGCAATTAAATTTCCTTATGTTTTTGGTAAGTTTCATTCACCCCAAACTAATTTCGTTCACCCTTGGGTGAACCATTCACCAATTTAAGAAGCAATGGCATAGAGTATGTGATGGCAGCTGTTGTGCAGCATGGCATTTACCAAAGCAGCTGTTGTACACAGCGCATCATATGCTATGGTGACTATAATGCAGTTTAGAACCTGCCATGGCAACTGTTGTACACAGTGCACCACCTTCCATAACCTATAGTGAATATCTTATTTAAACCAAAAGCTGTTATGGGCACACACTCAGTATTTTACTTACAAATCTCCACAAGCCATTTATACTATTCCTCATGAAATTTCAGGCATCTTCCTAATTGTCTAACAGGTAACCTTTCTTGTGCAATCTGATCCAGGCACCAACCCTTGGAAACGTGTCTGCTGGGTTAATTTTTAACATGCACTTTTTTGCATTATGTCAGACATCGACCTGTTGAAACATTTTTGTCATCTTTGTCAGCTAATGCGGGACCTTTTGCGTAAACTTTTGCGTGACCTCTTCCCCCCACATGCATCAACCTGAAGAGTAAGTTTCTCCCACATTCGCCGTCTTAGCTCGACCTCTTGCGTGGCCTCCCCCCCCCCAACATGCATCGATCAGAAGAATGCGTTTTTCCCACGTTCGTCGTCTTGCACTTGACCTCTTGCGTGACCTCTTCCCCCCAGGCATCGACCTGAAGAAGGTGTATGCGTACTCGGCGTACTGGGAGCAGGCGCGGCTGCTCTACGCGCCCTTCGAGTGCTCAGTGACGATGAAGAGCGGCAATGCGGACGTGTACGAGCACGAGATTCCCGGCGGCCAGTACACGAACATGCAGTTCCAGGCGTTCAGCCTCGGCCTTGGCGAGCAGTTTGAGGAGGTGAAGAAGGCCTACATCGATGCCAACCACCTGCTGGGCGACGTCATCAAGGTTCGCACCCTGCTCTGTCTCGTGTGGAGGGTGTTCGGGTGGGGAGGCGGGAAGGGTTAGGGTAAGAGAGGTGGGGAGGGAGTCTGTGTAAGTCGCAAAGTTGTAATGTTTGCTGTGCCGTCGTTGTTTTTGTGTCATCACGCAGCAGTTCACGCGTGTATTGCAAATGGCCACTATATGGAGACAGGCTGTACACTATCTCATAGACTCGTAGTCTAGCAGACACGAGTACGATTTTTATAGTACCAGGGGCCGGTTTCACGGAGCGTGATTAACTTTAATTATAATTAAATCACTAATCATGATTAACATCCCGTAATTATGATTAGTTAATCATACTTAAAAATCTGTTTCACGAAGTGATTTAATTACATATTTAACTAATCACATAATTAGCCGACTTAAACATGAATTACACTGTATTCAAAATAGCGGACAACGCAAAAAGTACCTGCAAAACAGTACCTGAAAATGAATTAATTTGCAATTATAATTACTAAATTAGTACAGCTAATCTTAAATAATTTAAATTTCCTTGGGATAAAATGGAAGTAAAATTTCCAATTGTAAAATATGCAGCCTACTTACTGTACTAGTAATAGCAACTAATTATGATTAGTGGATTTAATCATGCTCCAGAGTAGAATTAAATATTTTGATTAACTTAATCATGATTAAAGTTAATTACGCTTTGTGAAACAGTCGCTTCCATTTAATTACGGGAGGTTAATCATGATTAGTGATTTAATCATCATCATCATTAATCATTAATCATTAATCATTAATGATATCAAAGTTGGGAACACTCCTAATGGAGCGTTAGCTTATAAGGACTTAATTACGCATCGTGAACCCCAGGTCTTAACCAGAATGAAGACGAAACATGTGTGTCAGTTGTATGCGTGGAAGTGTTTATGCCTGTATGCTCTCTCTTCCATGTGCACGTGCATCTGTGTGTTGGTGTACGTAAGTGCACTTTGTCTATGTGATGCCTGTCAGTATATGTTTGTGAAGGTTTGTGTACGCGCAAACGTTTGCGAGTCCGTGGGTGTGATTACTGTCGTGTCGCCTCCCTATCGTTAATGGCTGGCTTTTCCGCGTGTGTCTCTGACAGGTGACGCCGTCTTCCAAGATCGTCGGAGACTTGGCGCAGTTCATGGTGCAGAACAAACTGAGTAAGCAGGACGTAGAGGACAGGGCAGATGAGCTCTCCTTCCCAGTGTCGGTGATCGAGTTCTTCCAGGGAGTGCTTGGCAGGCCATACGGAGGCTGGCCCGAACCGCTGCGCACAAAGGTACGAGTGCGGACATCACGAAACTGAGCATACTGACCCCACGACGGTCAAATGCAGTTAAGTGCTTGCCACATTGCTATCTCTAGTCAGACGTTAAAAATGTCCGTCAAGGTGATGTTATTGTTGGCTTGGATCAGAGTTCATTATCCTGGCACTGTATAGTGACGTGGGATCGCAAGAGGACGAGGCGTCAGTGCATTAACAGTTTCACTTGTTGTGTGCAGTTGCTTCTCGTAACACCTGCAGCTGAGGCTCAGCGTAGAAAGATTTGTTGGCAGCTTACCGCATTTCATATTGAGGCGAAATTGGATTTTGTTTCGGGCGTAGATCCTGCGTGGGAAAAAGTCTTTGGACGAGCGGCCAGGAATGCATATGGAACCACTTGACCTGCATAAGTTGAAACACGATCTCATCGAGAAACACGGCGAGGACAACATCAACGAATATGATGTCATGAGCGCTGCCATGTATCCCAAGGTGTGTGACCCTATCTCTGTCCCTACTGCAGTGTAACCATGCCCTGCCGAGGTGTGGTTTGTCTCGTGGTTGTTTAATTCAGCACCTCTGCTCCTACTGTAGACTAATCGTGCTGGTTAGAGTGTAGGTAACATCCTGTACTGCAGGCCAAATTGTGTGTACCCCTCCAGCCTTTCTGCAGACCTGCCAACCCTTACGATTTTAACTGAAAAACCTACGATTTTTTACGACTTGAAAATTAATGTGTTTTTTACATTGTGAGCCGAGAAATATCTGGCGATTGTGGGCGCAGCCATATTGGATCACGCGTTCACGTTGTTCTCGCGTGATCTAGAGTTAGTCCCATCATTCATTGCGCGCATAACATACAAACAAAATGGCCGCCTGCTGCAAGAAAAGAAAGGACGTGGATATTTGTCCGAGCATCGGACACCTGTTCGTATGCGCTATTCGTCCGAACAGTTGTTGCGCATGCGCTGTTCATGTTGTATTACATAAATGTAATATAATGCTAGTCTAGGGAGTCGCCTACTCTCTAACCCCAACCCTCACACTAACTATAAACCGACTCGGATCTCTTATATACTTGAGTCATAGTACCAAACACTATCTATGGTGTATAACCACATACGCATCTATGCAGGGGCGTCACAGCCGTAGGGCTGCCGTAGCAAAACGCTCATAGCAATTTAGCATTTTAGAGCGTCTAGATTTCAAAACAAAATTTTATGGGGGGAGACCCCCCAGACCTCCCCTTCACACTTCCTACCTCCGGCACTCGTGCCGTGCGCCTGCGGCATGCAACATGAACAGCGCATGCGCAACAACTGCTCGGACAAATAGCGCATACGAACAGGTGTCCGATGCTCGGGCGAATATCCACGTCGGAAAAGAAAAGCCTTACTATTTTCATGAATCACAGGTTGGCAGGTCTGCCTTCTGTAGAGTAACCGTGGTGGTTTAGGTTTAGCTAGTTACAGTGTCATGTTCCCCATGCAATGTCTTTTCCTCTATCAGTGCAGTAGAGTAATGGTGGCGGGTTGAGTTTAGTTACAGTGTCATGTACACCCAGGTGTTACACCCGATACAGTAATGCTGTAGGGCATGCCATGGTGGGCCTAATGCTGAGTGGAGAGTGTGGGTTAGACAGCATTGGGAAAAGAGTTTCGGAAGAAGTAGTTGGCATTCCCATTGATATCCACAAAGATTACCTTTTCTAGTTCGACTCGACTAGTTGGCTAAATTATTACCTCACGTTTGGAAAAGAAATGATTCGCTAGAAAAAGACCTTTTGCAATAACTTCAAAAGAGTATTAAACTTGAGCTATAATGACTTAATGAAGTCGTTCGCGTAAGTGTTGTCTTTAATTTTGGGCTGATATCTTTTCAGGTGCTCGATGACTACAAGAACTTCTATAGGCTGAATGGGCCGGTGACCACACTACCCACAGGTCTGTTCTTCGTTGGTCCAAAGATCGCTGAGGAGTCAACGGTAAGTTTGCCTCCCCCCCCCCACCCACTCTGCCTCTTACCAAGTGTACGTAGCACTTACCAAAAATGAATCAATGTGCTCATATCTGCTGATCACTTGTCCCAGTGGTCTTTAATGGTGTGACCTTTATAGAAGTGCTATCATCTCTAAAAAAAAATTTTTTTTATGTTTCCTAATGTGCATGCATGTGAATACTCGATCATTACCAAGGGACGTGCAAACGTGTGGGTACTAATCCCCTGTGGGTGTGTGTCTCCCATCTGATATCTCATGATTTCATTGCCTGTTTGCTGTATGTACATGCAGGTTGAAATCGAGACAGGAAAGACGTTACATATCTCCACTCTGGCGATGTCTGAGCTCAACTCTCAGGGCCGGAGGGAGGTGTTCTTTGAGTTGAATGGACAGTTGAGAACTTTGCTCATCAAGGATTTGTCAGCACAGAAGGTTGGCTATGCTTGTAGAAGTCACAGTGCATAGAGAATCATTGTTGCAGAATTATGTGTCAATGTAAATGGATTATTAATGAATTGGATTAATCAAGTTTAGTATTTTTTAAACTTGTATTTCTTATTGTGTCATTAAAGAAATATCACCCTGTGTGAATTGTTTTTTAGTTGATTTCACACCATCCCAAGGCAGATAAGGAGATTAAGTCACAGGTTGGAGCACCTATGCCCGGCACAGTCGTTGACATAAGAGTCAAGGCTGGTGATGAGGTGAGTAAGAAGGACTAGTCCTGTTTAAAGCTAGCTGTATCTGGTGTCATAGTTGTAAAGCTGAATTGGCCTCGCACACACGTAATCGCAATAACGATAATGTTTATATAGCATTACAAAATTACAACCTAGAGAGATACTTTTACGATTATAGATACTTTAGTGTAACTTGTGCTAAAGTAAACTTTTTGCCATTTTTTCCCGTCTCTACATCGCTAGGTTGAGAAGGGCGATCCACTCGTGGTTCTTTCTGCCATGAAGATGGAGATGGTTGTGAATGCAACCAAGGGAGGCACGGTCAAGCAGGTCCATGTTAAGAATGGACAGAAGCTGGAGGGTGAGGACCTGCTCGTTGAGATGGAGGAGGAGTAAACTTGTCATTACAACTCATCACGATGTAGCTGCTAAAATATTCGCACGCGCGCGTGCGTAAATGCGCATACACATACATACAGCTTGTTTTGCGACCAACTCTACCGATGGTGATGGATGATTCTGTGAAGGGAATTGCCTGGAGGTGGCGCCATGAACACTTGCATATTTGGGTGTTGCTATCTCCCGGGCGTGGAGGGAGGTCACGTGATAACGTTGACGATGACGTTCAAAACGTTAACCCTAACGGTAACCCTCAATCCAACACCGCCAACACTAACCCTCACACTAAATATATATGTGTCGCCACGCTATATATAGGCATTGTGATCCACAAAAATTAATCTATGATGTGGGGACAGATATCATGATGCAAAAACCCTAACCCTAATCCTAATCCTAACCCTAAACCTAATCCTAACCCTAACCCTGACCCTAATCCTAACACTATCTCAACACTAGTGCTGCCACGTTGCGGTCACCTCCCTCCACGCCCGGGGGATAGCATTACCCTGCATATTTAGACATCGATCCACCGATCCCCTAGGGACATGTGTTACAGTCATCATGCACTTGTGCACGTGCACTGTCCCTGCTTCAGGAGGCTGGGTGATTGCAACCTACTTCATGGCTAGGGGACATACTGCTGCCATCTACAGGACTTGTAAATAGTCATTGGGTTTGTGTATGACGGGTGTGTTTTCCTAGTTAAATGATTGGCTCCTGGGCATTTGAAGGTCTCGTTTTTGAATAGGGAGGGGGTACACTGTAAATGCAACATATGTGATGCTAAGTCTTACTACTTTACCTTTTTGCTTTAATGTAGGCTACAAATATGTTCACAATGAAGTAATGGAAATTGCTTTAGCAATGTGTTTTGAATCCCCTGGCCTATCAATGGAAGTGCGTTATATGCAGTATTATGAATGTAGCTTGTCGAGTGGGAAATTATCACTGTTTATTCCACGTAATATGGCTGTAGGTTCTTAGGGTAGAAGAAATATTTCCTACTGAATTGTCATTAGCAGCCTGCTTGTCTGAGAGTTTCACTTGTCTATACGATGACTGTTTTCTCATATCTGCATACACCCGCTGTTACCACCCGGATTTGCTCAATGGCTTGTACAGGTGGTCTGTATAAGCACAAGTTCGTTTGCTATATCTTTAGCTTACGTATATTGCGCCGGGGGCATTTTTAATGAGCATGAATCATTATGTGTTCGCTATTATTAGATCTAGTCGTTAAGACGTTAACCAACTGTTACCTGAATTAATCATGCAAAGTGCTGTCAGCACTGCTGAGCATTTGTGGGCATAGTGTTGTCCTACAGACAGTCTTAAGTCGTCATACAAGTTGTTATTTTCTGGAGAGATCATGTAATTATATACCCCGAGTAATCATGGTACCGGTGTTGCCTAGTTGAGCTTTTTTTGGCTCAGGAGCAGTTGTTGATTATTACGTTTGCATACCACAGTCACAAGGCTAATAGTATAATATTGGTACGTGCAATTTTATCTGCAGCTGACAAAAATGTGTATAATATATTATTTTGACACACATTAAGCCAGCGGTGGATATATATTTGCTATTAGCCCATTCGGAGTGTCGTATGCAGACATAGACAAACAGACAGGGTACAATAATATTGATTTAGCATTGTTACCTTGCTGCCAGCTATCATGTTACAATTGCCACCACGTTGCATTGTTGCAATCGTTTTAGTCTGCACACTGCCATTTGTATTGCAAAGGCAGTTGGAAGTGATCACCTGCTCGGAGTGTTGCTGAACTAGGTTTTGTAGATTTAATGAGGTGAAGGCCAGAACTGTTCGTAACAGTTTACAAAATCTAATTCTCTCAATTCACGTTATTGTTGTTGGGTGCTTTACATCAAAAATACATGCTAACGTCACCACTATACTGTTGAGTTTGTAGTAGAACAATGTCTGTAAAAATTTATGAAGTTGTTGGCTAATATAAGCAATTGTAAAGTAATTCTGAAGTTAAGTTTTGATACCAGACTGTCAGGTGAAATGCGAAAAAGATGGCATCAACTCTCTTTGTCATAAACCACACAAACAATGCCAACAGTTTTCTGGCAAAACCATCACAATTTATTATACTAAATAACATCCTATATCTGTAGTAATACCATAACAATTCACCATCCAATCTTTTATTTTGCAAGGCAGTCTATATATATATGTATATTATATATACACACCCAGAATTGAATTTTTACATGGTAATTAGTGCTGCACAGTTAATTTGCTAGTTAATTTTAAGCTAATCAGATACCTAATTTGAACAAAGGCACATGCATTGCAATAAATCTTGTGGTACAACATTTTCATAATCTACACATACCTTAGTTTATATCAAGAGCCTTTATACGCTCTTGTTTATATCAAATACAGGTAGACAAAAATAAATGACCCATATGTAAGTATTGTAACCCTACATAAATTTAGAAATATATTTATTATAATTAAATTTAATAAAATATATAAGCAGGAATATCTACACAGTAAAAATGAACTTGTACATGCTTTGACTACATAAGAAACTAAAAGGAATAATTCAAATGAGTTGGCCAACTTTATAGTTATTGCAGTAGAGTATCACTGATTAATTATGTTCTCTGTCTATATATCACAAAAGTTGAGCTTCTTTCACCATTAGAAGCTGCATGGGATATGCATATCATTACACATTGTACCTTCCAAGTATGCATCTACCGGGTACAACAAGTATCTTCTGTACCTATACCGGCATATAGATGCTTGTTGCATCATACACAAGCAGTAATAACATATGGCACACGCAAGCACACTGTTAAACCTTTTCCAACATAAAGCTACTATATGGTAGGAACGTGGAATTAGAATTTGTAAAAAATAGAAACATCTCGTGATATACTACTCCTACATACTTTATATAGTAAAATAATCACTTGGCCCACATAACATTTCATTTATAACTATACTTTGTTAAGTGAATAGAGAAAATTGAGTAGGATAACCTAAACGAAAGTGGTTTGGAAGCATAGCTGGATTCCAAATTCAGGCACTGCAGTTGTAAACTTACCTACCCATTTGTAATAACCTATAACCTACCAAAACATTCATCACCATGGGACAGAGACCACACCAAGTGCATGAGCATAACATTGTTGAACACAGCTATCGTGCAACAGATGGTGTTTAAAATGCACTGTCAAAAAAAAATCTGAATATAATAACCTAATATAATAAACCTGATGAAAAATCTACTTATTGGCAACACGGACCTTTTATGACCTTTCAGGAAATGCATGAAAAGCTCGGCTTCATTAAGGAGGCATACAACAGTAAGCCTCCGCAATTGTTCACCGTTGCACTATATCGTCTCTAGAAAATGCCTTTTTTAGCATTTTTTCCCGCAGAAATTCGGCACTAGAGTGCAATAATTTGCATTATGCACGCAAGTTAGATGCCTCGTGGACGTCTAGAAAGCATTAGAAGTAAAATTGGTCTTGTTGTGCGTGCGTGCGTGGATGCGTATTGCGATTGGTATACCATATATTAATACCAATATATTTATACCAGACGTCCCAAGTGTCCCGGTCTCACCGGGATCGTCCCGGTGCAAGTTCATGCTGGTCCCGGTGCCCCGTTAAGAATCCAGAAAGTCTCGATCGTAACATTTTTCAGCCATATTTTAAAATTTACAACAGTAAATTACTAAATTTGCTGTGGTTGTTGATGTACTTTTATTCCAGCGAACAATAAAGGGCCACAAATGTCAAACACGTTTGTTTTCACAATAAATTTGTGTTTTATTTTACATGTATATACTTTATAAAAAATGGTGATGCGCCGCGACAAACACATGTTGCAGCCCGACACATTTTTTTTCCTGTTTTTGCGCACCGCGAAAAAACGGCGATGGACCATTATCACAAGTGATCCCTTTCTTGGATTTTCCCAACTTGGGACCTCTGTTTATACTCAACCCTATCATACATTGGTTAGGTGTCAGAAGTTCAGAACTATTAGATAGTGCTGACCCCTACCGTTCTTGTAGTAGCAGTACAAGTAAAGCTAAAGTTAGTATATACTGTAACTTTATATAATACTATAACAGGCCCGTAGCCAGGGGGGGGGGTTCGGGGGGTTCGAACGAACCCCCCCCCCGAGCCCCAGCCCCCCCAAGCAAAAAAAATTGACGCATACCGCTGCCGCACCCGGCAGTTAGATGCGATATGATATGACTACTAGGCACTTAGGATATGACTACTAGGCACTTAAAAAAAAAATAACCCTAACACTAACCCTACCTAACCTAAACCCTAAACCTAACCTAAACCCTAACCCTAACCCTAAAAAAAATTAAAAAAATTAAATTAAAGTGCCTAGTAGTCATATCATATCGCATCTTTCTGTCCTTTGCACCGCTGCCAGGCAGTGGTTTCTATAACAATTTTCAGCTATTACAAAATTTTATCCTACAAATAAAAATTATCCTTAAATTTACCACATTGAAAAAATAATAATTAATTAGCAGCTATCGGTTTACTTTTTTTAATATGCCAACATTACTTTTCATTGTGACATTTGTGCTGGAATGTTGTGCCACTTTCAGTGCCAATATTGCCTGCCCTCCATTTTGAGTATCGCGCTTGATAGAGTCAGATATTTTTAACGAAGAAGTTCGTCGTACAATCGTCTCCTGCTGCAGATTATAGTCTTATACATTCTGCGAGGTTTGAAAAGAATATCTTGTGTTCTTTGTGAATTGGTAAGTATATGTTAAAACTTCAGCTGGGTGAGGAATGATAGTACTTATGTTACGGCCTCTCTTGCAATGGCTTTGTTTCGTTCGCGTGCCTGAAAAGTGCCGGTGGTCATTTCGACATTTGACGTTACGGCAGGATTGCAACGTCGTTTCTATTCATTAGATTTATTGTTTATAGTTATAGAATCGTGACGTCATGCAGGCCGTATGATTAAAATATAAATAAAGCTTACGTCAGCAATCTCGAAATGTGAAAATGCAGGTCTCCTCATGACGTCCTGTCGTCATTGGCTTGAGAAATCTTCAATTATCGGTTCAAGGATAGAGAACATGGGTCCCAATAAAACCAATGTCATTTACATCAATATAAATATAATATTATATCAATATAATAGGTTAGGGTTAGGGTTAGTAACAGTGTGAGTATTTTTAATTAATTTCAGTTCGATGCTTATTCAGGCATGCCGCCTATGGACGCCCTCTACTGTTGTTGGACACGAATAAGTTTATCACAACTGGGCGCCGGTTGCCGAAGGAGAAATTTTAGCCCAGTCCCTGGGCTTTAACGCCCACTCCATTACTGCACCAAACTCTGCGGACACTTGCTCATCTGACTTACTACAACATCTTCTGGACTATGTGGATGTAGAAGGCTGGTGCGTCATCACCCTTGTAGGTGAATGAGTCGAGTGGCTGGAAGTCCCCAAACACCGTCTGATGGCACTTGCCATCAAACGAGTCAGACAGGAGCTGTTTGAATGCGTCGAGTCTATGTGGGTAGTAGGACAGACGAAAGCGGCTGCAGAAGCAAGAAATTGTGCAATACATTATATGGCACTAATTGACAAATCACACGATATTTACTTGTCAGTCCGTTACTTTACCACAAACCTTTCAATCACATGCTGGCAAAATATACTTATAACAAAATATATACTACTGCTACTAAAATACATACTGCTCAAAATCTGACGTGCTGCAACTCCTACGCTAAGCTGTTCATAAAGAAGTTTTAAGCTATGTGTACTTTAAAATCACTGTGTGTACTATTGCCTACTGGGACAAAGCGGGTTCAACCCTAGTTTGACAATGCTTACTTGACGGGTGGTCCTTCAAACCGCTTGTTCTTGAGGAGAGAATAATTAGCGGTGAACCAGTTCTCATCCTGCTCCTGCTGCTTTATCAGCTCACTCAGGTCCATCGTGTAGTCCAATGTCACTATGTTAGGCTTGCCGTTGACATAAAGCAGGGAGGTGCTGATGTCACTCGTATACTGGCTCTGTGACACCAACCACAAGCATTGGATTAGCGTCACCTGTTTTCACATTCAATGAGTTCGGACTCACTCCGCGACATTTTAAAAGCAATAACATTTCAAAATATTAAAGAAATATATAAACGAAACATGACTAAAAATAAAAACATTATTCGAAAAAACAGCTGCTGCATAAATCAGCTGACAACCGTAGATATGAATGTGTCATTACTATGTGTCTAGTCAAGTTCAGTCTATCTAGGGAGCAGTTCAATTTCATGTCTTACTTACATTGTAATAAATATTCTTAGCTGGAGATTTGCCTGAGTCGAGGATGTAATCGTAGTTTCGGTGGTCAATCATGAGAACCCCACCAGGCTTCAACAAGTTAGCCATGTTAGTTATAGCTAGCTTGTGGTTTGCAAGGTCCCCATCAAAGTCCAAAAGATGGGCAAAAGAATTTCCTGCAATGAGAACAGTGTGGAATGTGATACTCAGTCAGGTGTCTCCCTCCACCCAGGGGGAGAGTACGTTTTTGCTATCGGCGCCACATTGGCGCAAATTAATACATGCAAAATGCCTGTCCACGGCGCCCCGCACGCACACTATGGGTCAAACGTTGAAACGTTTGCCGACGCACGGTCGATAACATAAAAACTTTGAACATCTGATAGAGAGGTTGATAGAACGTTGACAAACTGATCATCTTTTTGATTTTTTCCTTAGTGTAAACCCGGCCAGCTTAATGCTTTGCCCTGTAGCTACATCACTATACTCGCTATGGCCACACTATAGTTTCTTCAAATACTAGTTAGCCCCAAAACTGATTCTGACAGCCAGAAAGTTTCAGTTCTGGCTGGCGTTTACAGAGGTGATTATGATGATACGCTTTGGAACTGCCACTCACTCCTCTCTTTTTCCAATCTAATTTGTGAACCACATTTTATGCAGAAAAAAACATTTCAATAGCAGATTGAACCAACCTGCAATTCTTGTTAACAAATGGTTGTATTATATGTGTATGTTCTTTGCAGTGATTATGGGAGAAATCTCAGAAGTTACAATGGGTTGTAAAGTGTAAACTTTTCATACACTTACAAAATACAGAAATTATGTGGAATCATCCTCAGTTGATATCCAACAAGTGGCAGTAGCATAATTCACGTCACTGAGGAAGAGAAATTAGATTTTAACTAAATGTAAACTAAATCTGCAACCTACCTAAGCATATCACAGCATCATAGCCATCCTGACCACGTGGTTTGTTTATGTCATCACAAAGTGTTAACCAGTTGGCTTCTTCAATTTCTGCAAACAACAATTGATTACTTTATAGCAGACATTGCTTGATTATACATAAGTGCTGCAGTCTGCACATGTGAATTTGTCACCAATCTTAAAACGGTGTGAATATATAATCGCATTATTAACTCTCTTTCTATTTATTTAGTGAGTCACACCTTACCCCAGTTATCAAATGCTGGTTCCTGTCTCCGTCGCCACCGCTCCCGAAGTGCATACTTGAGCATTTTGTCACTGGCATCAACACTTTTGACGTGAAATCCCTCTTCCAACAAGAGTATGGAATCCACACTGTAACATGTGAAACATGGTCAAGATCAGACTATTTACTCTATTCCTTGTAATTATATTTTGAAATACGAAAATGGCATTTGCTTCACAACAGTTTCACTCATAGGATACTCCATTACATAATATAAGGAGAAGCAAACTGCTCATATACACATTTTTAATACAGATGGTGAAGGGAAAAAATAGTTTACGTCTAACACAAAATATTCCTCAGTATCAACACCTAGCTGGCAGTTTAATACGATGATAGATTTACTGATATTTGTGCTGCCAGGGTCATGTCTATGTCTCCCTGGGTACTGCCGGAACGTACCCTCAGCGGTACGCTCTAATATGCCGGACCGTACCACTCCTACTCCACTAACGAGTCTAGGGAGTCGCCTACACCTACTCCCTAACCCTAACCCTAACCATATCAGATAGTTACCACGGTACGTTCCGGTATATACCGGACCGTACCCAGGGAGACATAGACCCTATCAGCAATATTTGTGCCTGGGGCAACACACTTTATCAGCACTTGCCAAGGACTACATATAGCCGGTTATATAGATAAGGTTTTGTACACAGATGAAATAGCCATACATTCAGTATAATAATGATAGATAAATATGGATTATACTCACACTGAACATGCAATTACACGAAAGCAGATCAAACTGGTACGAACTGGCTGAAGGAACAGTGTCAAAACAAGTATAGCTAGACCATATAGTACAGTATGATGGCACCGAGAACACGTATGTAATAATAAACATCAATGTCAACTGAAGGTGATAGGCTGAGAAAAATGTATCAGGAGAGAAAGGGAAAGGAGTGATTGAGAGAGGGGGAGGGAAGGAGGGAGGGGGGAAGGGAGAGAGAGAGAGAGAGAGAGAGAGAAAGAGAGAGAGAGGGAGAGAGAGAAAGAG